AATGGAATCAACTTCCAAGATTTCCCACGTCCATTTCATTGTAGTATCCTGAAATAAAAATTGTTTTTTGGGTTTTTTGTTAGGGAGGTAGAGAATTTGTTATTTCACTGGGAATTTGGACAATGGATACTACAGCCCGACAAAGGCTGCAAAGCTTTCACCAAAAAAAGATGACAAGAAAACCGGATGACACGCCTTTGCATTCGGCAGTGAGAGCAGGAAACTTGGAAATGGTTTTGGAAATAATCAATGGCAGTGAGGATGCAGAATTGAAGGATTTGTTGTCCAAGCAGAACCAATCAGGTCAGACGGCGCTATATGTTGCTTCCGAGTATGGTAATGCTGATTTAGTGAAGGAAATGATCAAGTTTCATGATGTTGGTTTGGCTAGTATAACAGCAAGAAATGGCTATGATGCCTTTCATATTGCTGCCAAGCAAGGAGATATGGGTAAGCTTCCAGGAAATCTGTTTCTTATTTAAAAACCTTGCATTTTGATTCAATTTATTGCATGCAAATTCAGCACTTTACAATATATATATATGTAATTTCTGTAGGATGTTCTTTGTCAAATTAGTAATTAGTGCTGGCTCCCCTTTTTGTATTTTGTTTATATGCTTTCATGCATATTTTTCTAAATAATTTTTGAGTAACAAATATTCCTTGGGGATGAATTCTTTATAAAGTTTTGCTTTGTTTTTCTCAGCGGTATTGAAGGTTCTCATGGGTGTTGCACCTGAACTTTTGATTACTTTTGATTCGTCAAATAGGACTGCGTTGCATACTGCTGCCTTGCAGGGCCATGTTGATGTAGTGAATTTCCTCTTGGAGAAAGGTAGCAGTGTGGTTCTGATAGGTATGAACAATGGGAAAACTGCCCTTCATGCTGCTGCAAGGAATGAACACTTGGAGATTGTGAAGGCCCTTTTGAGAAAAGAACCTGGAATTGCAACAAGGATTGACAAGAAGGGCCAGACAGCTCTTCATAAGGCCGTTAAAAGAGAGAATGTTGAAGTTGTGAATGAGCTAGTGAGCTTGGATCCTTCATTAATAAACATGGTCGATGCTAAGGGCAATACTGCATTGCATATAGCAACTCGAAAGGGACGGACTCAGGTAACTGTTATAACCATCTCTTGAGCATTTCTTTGTTGTCAGCTTTGACCATCAGAGAACAGCTTCTGTTTACTCTGAGCATTCAATAACAAATTAAGTTAAATTTGAAATCCTAGTGTCTTGTTGTAAAATAGGAAGCTATAGGGAAACCGGAAATTATCAACCAAACCTGCTCATAAATTTTAATCCCTCTTATAAATTTGCTCATAAATTTATTTTTCTTGTAGATTGTTCTTGAGCTACTAAATCACAGTGGAGTTAACAAACAAGCTGTTAATAAATTCGAGGAAACTGCTCTTGACACTGCAGAAAAAACAGGGCATAAAGAAATTGCAACGATCTTGCGAAAGCATGGAATCCAGTGTGCCAAACTCATCAAGCCACAGCCAAGAAACACAGATCGAGAACTACAACAAACTGTGAGGGATATAAAGTATGATGTTCATAACCAGTTTCAGCATTCGCGTCAAACAACAAAACGTGTGCAAGACATGGCTAAGCGGCTCAACAAAAGGCACAGAGAAGGGCTCAATAATGCAATCAACTCCACAACAATTGTAGCTGTTCTCATTGCAACTGTTGCATTTGCTGCCATCTTTAATGTCCCTGCCCAATATGTTGATAACCCAAAAGCTATTAATCCAGGATTCTCTCTTGGAGAAGCAAGAATTGCTCCAAAACCAGAGTTTTTGATTTTTTTCATTTCTGACTCTTTAGCTCTCTTCATATCATTGGCTCTTGTCGTGGTGCAAACTTCAGTTGTAGTCATAGAATCAGAGGCTAAAAAGGAAATGATGGCTATTATCAACAAGCTCATGTGGTTGGCTTGTGTGTTGATTTCAATTGCATTTCTTGCACTGTCATATGTTGTACTTGGAGAGAATGGAAAGTGGCTGGCTATCATTCTAACAATTGTAGGTACAGGGATCGTGGTATCAACACTGGGAACATTGTGTTATTGGGTGATTATGAACCGTAAGGCTTCAAAATTTCAGAGCATTCAAAGATCGTCAAGGAGTAGTAGGTCATGGTCAGCATCAGCGTCACTGTCATTTATGTCAGATGCAGAGATTATGAACAGAGAGGATGATTTGAAACTCTATGCAGTTTGAGCTTTGATATGCCACACATGCTTTCTGCGTTTGTTTGGTCCTGTCTATATAATTCTCCACCTTGTAACATATACCTGACTGTAACATAGTTTCAGGA